TAAAACTGACATAAAAGTAAAATGTCTTTTCAATGAAAACGTTGTTCCCCGAATTGTAAAACCCAAATTGTTACTTAAATATATTAAAAGGAAAAACGTAAATGTATTCCGAGTATTTGATATAAAATGAATAGCAGTACACTAGGGAATACCCTAGAGTCTAGAGGAACCTAAAGATAGCGAAAAATGAAGGCAACGTAGAAGAGAACGATAGAAATAAAGTAACATAACACGCACATGAAATTATTTTTTGTTAATTAAATAACATATTTTTGTAAGCTAACAAAAAGTAACAACATAGTAAATTTGAGAAACGTATATTATTGAAATGAGTAGATATACCAAGTCTGTAACAATAAAATTAATTAAACTCGTAATTCGACAGATTCAAAAATGTAGCTTCAAGTCGTGCTTTTTAATAACCTAAAATGTGTTGCAAGAAACAGTAGCAAAATCTGTACGTTTCGATTACATTTAACAAAAGAAGTATCATAAGTCGTAATGAAAATCCATGACTATCGCTATACGCAACTTTTTAAATTTCCGTATGCTTGTGTACCTGTTGAGCGGGAGCATATGGTGGAGTGCAGCCTCTATCTCTCGTGGTGCCTGTTCTCACGAAATTAAAGCACTGCGTGCCCTGAGCTGCGTGGATGACGTCATCAGGTGGGACCATGATTGGAGCACACGAGGGATTGAATGTAGCATCAGGGGCTAATTGACCGTTCTCATCGCAACATGTTAGTAAATCCTTATCTGAAAATGTAATTTCAATAATAATTTTCCTCATTCTGCCATAGATTGTATAAAAATAGTGTTTTTTTTAAACAAAAAACGCCCAGTTTAACCTAATACATAAATTAATAATTGAAGTGTTCATTCGTAAAGTTATTAGCAAATCAACCTACATTATGAACCACGTGCTCTGTATTAACAAGTTTATACTTATGAAATTAAATATAGATTGTCTATACTCACGTGATTGTGCTACGCCAGCGGTTAAAGACATATCATGCGTTACAACCTGTCCCCATTGTTGCGCGTTCAAATTCCAGACTGGATCAATTAATTGCTTGTCTGGAAAAAGCCTTACGCTAATTTCCCGGGGATTGGGTAATTGTCTGCCAGTCAAGGAAATTGGCATCGCGCTGATACCTGAAAAAACGTTTGTGGAAATAACGGTTTACATGAAGAAATACAATGTAATACACATCGATCGATTACTTAGATGGTGATATTACAAAATTATAATCAAAACCAGATACATAAAATATTCTAGTTTATAAATATAAGTATAAATATATATGCGTACATTATGTATCTGGTATGAGCAACTATTACAATTTCCAATACATAGTAATGATGTAATTACAACCTACTTGCAAGCTAAATCTAAACTTAACATATCTATAACATTTGAGATTACGAGTATGTTTGACTTAAAAGTTTAGGAAAATTGTCAAAAGATAACTTACCATCAGCATAGTTGTACTTCGTTAAACGCCCGTAAGGAGTCTCCGCCATACCCCACGTCGGGTTTTGCAAATTATTACAAGATCCATCAATAGATCTGTATCGAGAGTTGGAACAATATCTAGGGCCAATTGGGCAAGTGTTCTCTGGTTGTTTCCATCCGAAAATATTTGAATGTCCCCGATTTCTATGAATCAAAAATTAACAATATAGCAACCAAGAATATTAATATTCTCGTAGTAATAAAAGCGGATCATTGAAGCTATCAATAGGAGAAGGCCTATAAGCAGCAGACGACCTTAGGCTAAATATCAATAAAGCAAGGTGAAGTATAGAAATATGATTTACCTTACCTAAATCCAATATCGGATAACTTTTCAAGTGTACTAAATGAAGGCATATTATTATTGGTTCCGGGAAATAGAAAATCAAAAATATTAGACTTCTGGATAAATGAGGATATGTCATTATTTATTGAGCTAATATATCCTCCGCTGACAGTGCAAACAAATAATAAATTGTAGACTAGGAAGGTCAATAGTACCATTGTACCTGAAACAATAGATAAATAATTTAAGCCAAGTACTCAAGAGCATAAAATCCGGGTCACTTAAAACAAAAAACTATAAATCTCGAAAACTAAGAATGACAGCTTAATGAAATAAACTGTGTTTAATAAACAAATAAATACTGCTTAAATTAAGGTATTAAAACTTCTTAGTTTCTCGCTTTCTTTTACATAGGAATAGGAGGATATTAACGAAATATAGTAGCTTATAAATATTGTTAGGGGTATGATATTGTCAATTAAACACCGATTGTTTGATTTTTTTAGGTTTTTTAAGTGACCCGGATTCGATGCTCTCTAGTGTACTAAAACAATGTAATACGCGAGGTACAATATTCAATCTTGTAACCATGAAAATAATGAGATTATGACAGTCGTTTATTTGTTTAACTGTTACATGGACCATAAAGATGGTGTTATACGTACAAAAGTACTAATTTTTCCAGTTATACAAGTGTTATAAACGGCGGGAAGATTAACGTTTTATAATAATTCAGTTAAAGTCGTTCCGGTTATCGTTGTCTCAAGACCTTGACCTCGTACAGTCTGTTCGGTTTTCTAAAGCAATTTGCATTGCTTCGAGGGTAATGACTCGTGACACTTTTTCTTCGTAACTTTTTGCATCTTTTATGCAATTTGTGTCATTAATCATCAACCTTTATCTTATTTCTTTAATCATTGTGTTTTCGGATTTATTATTTAGAGCGAATGAAATATGAGATCCTTATAATTATTTGTTAGTACAGATTATTTTTAATGGTTAATTTAATGGGCAAAGATAGAATAAGTGGGAAACGGCATAAGGTTTAGATTAATAATGTAAATGCGAAATGTTATACAGATGGATGGATTAATGGATGTTTGTTTTAATTTGTAGCCTAAACGGCTGAACGGATCTCGATGAAATTTGGCATAGACGTAGAGGATAATCTGGAAAAACACACATCCTATGCACTTTTGTTTTATTTTTAATTGAACGCGACAGAGTTCGGGGAAAGCTAACTTTGTATTTAAGCTGTCACAACTTACATAAACCGATTTATTATAATTAAACATATTTACTTTATTATGTATGATTTTAATATGCGAGTTAAAATTGATCATGATTTGCAAAACAAAAATTTTAAAAGTAGAATAGTGACATGAATATTCACTGAACTGAAAATAAAATGTTCCGCCGTGTCATATCGCCATTTGATCTGAAATATATTTTTTATCCGAGGGTCAAATTCCATTTCGGGTTTGGAGGATCCAAAAGAGACTTAATGTAAAAAATGTTAGACAAAGCGTATAAAAAACCACATATGCATTTATGTTTATATCATCGAGGTTCCTTTCGTACATAAAAATTGACATAATTTTTGTTTGGAAAAATCCGCTAAAGTTAACATTACCTTGACTTGCGGTGAATAATATTTTAAAAAGGAATTACATGTTAAGACGTTTTTGTTTAAAAACATACTTAATTCCAACTTGAATTTCACTTTAAAGTGTCGAGAACGCTTAATTTAAATAAAATTTATATTGCAAGCGTGAACCTTATTTCCGTTCATACTTAATAAGAGTACGGAAACTGGTCCGTTGCAGATAACTCGCTAGTTATGAATAATGACTTCACTAACAGGAGTTTATAAAGTGTGCCGACTTACGTAACTTGAAGGTAATAGATGGAGCCCTTTAGATATCAGAGCTTAGAATTTACTAATAGATATACTCGGATGAAAGGACACCAATTAAACTAACCAATTATTTCATCTTCTATACACATACTTAAACTAGACTGTATGTTTGTAATATCAAAGATGTATTTGCGTCGCTGAAAAGGAAAATCGCTTTTAGAATTTGTTTGTCTGTCTATCTGTCCGCAAGCCGCGTTTGTTCTGGTTAATTTCCGAAACACCTGCGTTGATTTAGACCGGACTTTAACTGAAGGGTAGCTGACATAGACGGGCATATAATAGGCTTCTTTTTAATCTGAATATTGCGCGAACGAAGTCGCGAGTCACAGCTCGTAATTAAAACAATAGGAGATTGAAGGAGAATTACTTGCTGGAATCTAATTAATAATATCGATTATTCAACATCAGATATATCAAATTAATCATTCACTCTCCAATCACTAAATATTCTATTAAAAATACTATCAATCAACGCATATTAATTATATCAAAAACAATGTTCTACTTTCAAAATACCTTAACCTTGAGATGCCTTACATAACAAAGCCTACAACTAAAGCACGTGATATTTGACATGCTTTCCAAGTCAACAACTGACCTTAATTTTTGAACGCACCCTGTACAGAATAGTTACGAAATACCAGTAATCAGATATTTTTTTCGAAATTAAAATTATATCAAGATACGAATATGGAGGTGTGGTATGACTTTAATATGTAAGATAAGGCGTGACTTTAGGTCACTGGCCGTTAATTCCTAGTGTCCAATGCTTTTGTAGGTTACAAGACATATTTACTTATGAGTTGTGAAATATGTTATTTACCAATATCAGAATACAATATCCAATGTTATTATTATGGCAGTCAATCTACAACGTCCTTTATTCCTCAGAGAATTTGTATGATTAAAAAATAAAAAACCTTCACACAATTGTTTAATTCCTTATAACTCGTGTTAATTTGATGATTTTAAAGGCTTCATTGTTTATTTTGAGAATTAAAAATAAATTTGCAAACCTAACTCTCGTACTGTAAAGAAAAAAGTGGCATGTACTTTATGAACGCCATATATTAAGTTTACTGTTTCGGATAAGCCATTCACGAACTTTCTACTCAACGATTATCTGTTTCGTAACCCAAAGGCGGCCTATTATCTCTTCAGTTATAGGTCACTTCGAACCACTAAATTAAATGAAATTTCTGTAACAAGTTAGAGTATGAAAATTACTGTTATTAAAACACGCGTGTAAGTGTTTGACTTGTTATATAAACATTTCTTACATAACATATAAGGACAAGGAAGTAGAGCTAAGCACGTGACAAGCTTAAATGTACGCAGTGCAACTTTCATGACCTCAACGACGGACGAAAGCACATTAAATTAAATTGCAAAAGGCATTAGGAGTAACACAAGTGTTGCTACTTTTCATTATTTATGTCAATAACTTAAACTCTCTTTCTGTACTCTATAGATAAAGTATTACGCTGTTTATTTCTTGTTCTATTACACCTGTTAGTCTTTACCACTTTAAACTTAAAAATAGAGAAAGTAAGATTACTGTGAAATTAATTATGACATTATTTAAAACTTGAATTAATCTATATTTCCAATTTCGCTATCCTTACGTTGATAGTTATATTAATTGCCTAAAGAATTAAGGACACTGTTGACATATCCTCGTAGATAATATTAAACACACATTTACGATACTATTATGTTACAAACTGGGATCAATACGTGAGTACGAGGAAGTTGAAATCGCAAATAGCTCATGAATATCGCAATCAAAGGTGGGAAATCACTTGGGGGAACGAAGCGGTTTATTTCATCTTGACTTTAAGTTCAAATAGTAAAGCTAAATATAGGTAACCTAAGTTAAATTAATGTTATGTACAGGTAACAGCGCAACTTTGTTTGCTTAGGGTTTTCCGATAGTTTTATTAACAACTTGACCTATGTTACGCGGTTTGTGGCAAGTTGAAACGCCCAATATCGAATTCGAATCTTCTAGTATATTACGTAAAGTAATAAGAAACGGGGATAAAATTATTTGAATGAAGTATTTTTATAATCATAATGAAGCAAACGAACAAGCGGCCCATGATTTCGCTGAAGTAGAGAAAAAACCACTGCTCATAAAAATAAAGATTTATTTGATTTGAGGAGGGGACAAACAGAAACAGGATATTTATAATTCCTAATGCGTCCCTTTCTCCGTCAAATCACATCCATTCCTTACATTCTTCCATTCATTCAGTCGTTCTTTCCATTAGTAAAAGGATGGTAAATAAAAGTGGACTAGAATTAGGGAAAATGACTAAACCAAACGTGAAATGCCTTTTATTCAAGACACGGGGATAGCCACCCTATTTGCTGACGTCTACCATGTTAAAAAAATTGTTATGTAGAAAAACAACGATTACTTTCTCTATGTAAATATACTTATAAAACGTATTAACAACTACTACAAGTCTGATTCGACAGATTTCTTAGAAATCTCATGTAATTTTGTAAGTTATTCTTGCATAAAAAATCTAGTACATGTTGTTTTTTTTATAAATAAAAGAGGCGGAATATATCCAATTTGTATCATAACGTTGTATCATTTGCTCATTCAACCGAGTCGAATAAATTACTCGTATGAATTATGCACCCGGTACAAATGTTTCTTAATCAAACCGGTACTGTTATCAAAGAAAGTGAGAAGTTATGTAAAGTTGTAAATCATAGATATGCCCATTTTTAGTAGTAGACATAGATAATAAATTATTTCTTTTCTAACGATTTTCAGTCCTTAAGGGCGCTAATTTGCATAAACTATTCCCGTTTTATTTGTTTCAAATGGGTAATATTATATTGTTACTAGCTGTTGCTCGCGACTTCACCCGCGTGGAATTAAAAATAATAAAAAGAGCCTATGTTACTTACAGATAAATTACCTTGCTAAATTTGAAAGAATTGTTGAAATCGGGCCAGTAGTTTTTAAGTGAATCGAATACATACCAAAATCCAAAAATAAAAATCTTTCCTCTTTATAATATTAGTATAGATATAGATTTCTATGCTGTCTAAAGAGTGAGAGGAATGATAATATGCATTAAAAGTATTATGACAATTGTCCACAGCCATATTAAATCTAAATTAAGATTTTTTCAACCTTGTCAAGATCCCGTTATAGGTATCGGACAATAAAGTTAAACTTTCTTGTCGAGACCCTTTTTCCTCGTAATATATGAAGAAAAGGAAGTAAATGATCCGTAATAAAAGTAATAAGGCATGAATGATTTCAATGTTTATCTATATTTCCATCTAAGGATCGACATGATTGAGAATATAAAAAACTTCTGTCAGACGCAAAAACTTTTATGGTTTTATTAATCGTAAAAATGTAGTAAAACTCTTTGGCTTGGATGCAAGTTGTATGACCGTGTTACTAAATTCTCTTCTTATTATTCCAATAATTCTGCACACAACAATAAAGTTAATGATATTTTTGGCAAACTGGAAATAGTAAATAATAATATGCAACTACACGTTTCCTTTAGAGAAATCTTATTTACTAACTTAATCTAATATTTTGTTTATTACTTTTATTGGTGACAATACTACAGACATACATACATATTCTTTAAAACATTAAGAAAAATGTAATTAAAATTTCCTAACCAAAAAAACAAAATTAAGCATTTTAGCTCACCCTTTTTACGTATGCAGATGTGTTAGTGATTCACTAATTCATTCACGAGCCACTAACTACGCTTTTACAGCGAAATACTAAAAGTAACAAATATCACCGCTTCAGGTACTTTAAATTTTAACGTAGACCTAGATTTAGTAATTATTTGTAAAGTACAATTTAACAACAAAACCTACCTCCGAAATTAAAAGAATAGCTGGCATTAAAATTTGCTTCAAAGTACTCGTATCGATATCGACAAAATTAATATAACAAGCAGCGCACTTAACATGCATAAACTACATCAACAAATCAAACACAAATTTCGTCGAAGACGTTATGAATACTTAGCAAATTTTAGTGCTAAGCGTGGATCAATAATTGATTCGTCATTTTCTCCCGTGATTTTCATTAATAAGTACAAACAAATGATTCTAAAAACTAATCATTACGATAACTCATTACACAAAACACAATAAAACTTTCACTTATGTTGATATTATAATTACTAACACTTACTTGTAATGAAAATATGCACCAATGAAACAAAACTTGTTAAAATACTTAACGCAATTTGTAGTGTCAAAGTTGACTGCCACGCCTTTCAACATTCAATGACTACTGTGAGTACAGCGCAAGAACTAAACCAATGGTAGGGACAACCTGAACTTTATACATTCTATAAAATTGAGGTGGGCTTGAAGAAATTATGAAAATGAAAAAATAACAAAAAAATTTGTACTGAAAACAATAAACAATAGAAGTAAATAGAGTAGATAATTAAGAAAAATTGCATGTCGTCATTTGTACTTAAAATCTACAACTTTGTTTTTAATCACTAATTATTCAAGTACCCACCTATAACTTAATTTAACATTTTCCTTCGACATTTAACTTTATCCATAACTGAACATACATAATTATTCTTACCGGCCAGTTATTTTCTATAAAAAAATCTCGCTAAACCATTATTAACTAGCTTTCGCCCACAACTCCGTCCCGGCGGAATAAAAAAAAAAAAGAGTAGCTCATATGTTGTTCCAGACTATCCTCTACACCTCTACCAAATTTCATCGAAATCCGTTCAGCTATTTAAGCTACAAACTCGTAACAAACATCCATCCATCTAAACTTTCGCATTTATAATATTAGTATGATAGTAAAAAGTAAGATTAGGAATAGTGCATTAATTTAAAGAATCAAGTTACTTTGATTAACAACATCGATGTCAACAGCCTAAATTTAAGGCGCTCACTTAAACTTTATGTTCTTGGCTATCATTTAACCAAGGTTGGTCGGTTCTTATCAACTGATTATCTTCAACCAAAGCCTTTGGGTACTGAGGAAATCATATATGCCAAGATAAGAAGAACCTCGAGCACGCGACCGCTAAAGTAAATTAAATGAAGAAAAAATCTTGAATTTTGTTAAATAACGCTTATATTTTGATCTTTTAAACAAATTAGCCAAATAAATATATCGATTTAATTTCTTTTAAATGTTCCGTTAAGGAATATTTTTGAAAGCATTTCACCTCTTATTCAAGACGTACAGACTACACAAAACAATGTTTGTGGTAAACAACGCCACGACAGATTCGTGGTAGCTCTGTATTCCGCTTTTATTTTGTATTCACATTGTTATCGAGAAACGGTTCATAACTTAATTTAAGACAAGCGACCTATTTAATATCACAGGGCCGTGATGACAAGACTTCAACAAAATCATATTATATAATGTTTTTGGATCTTAATTATTGGAAATAGTATAAATTAAAATTATAATACAAATAAAATAATACCTAAGTTAATTTTAAACTTCGTTTACTATTTTATAATTTATAAACCTTTGAAGGTAGTAATTGATTTTTTATTATAAATACATATTTCAAATTTTACGAAAATGTTTTACTTTCTTTTATAATGTGAGAATGATATCACCCTTATTTCCGGTGTACTAAAAATACATGGGTATTCGCGAAAAACTAATGGATACGGTTGTTGTATTGACTTTTATAATAAAAGTCCATGTTAGCAATGTGTGAATAAATTAGTTATTACTTAGATTTTATTAGTAACAATTAGATTTCATTAACAAAATTCACGTAAGAAAATAACAACCATATGCTTTTTTATTTGTGTTGTGAATTAAATGCTCTTTAGTGACTTCGAATAAATTATACAGATAACATGAAAATGTGTTAAATGATGATAACATATGTTACATTCAGTGCTCTTGAAACTATTTTCGAACAAATAAACTGTTGTAAACAAATGAGTTTATTGTCACAGGTGTTCTGATAGTATTCTTATTTTAACAGTGAAAATTGAGGTTAGATGAATTAATGGACGTTTAAACTACAGTGTGTAAAGACCGTGCATCAAGCTTGGAAAACAAAATTTGGTAAGTGTTTCATACTTATATTGTGTATTGTATTTTAAACGGAAAATGATTTTTTTGGTTAATCATGTGTTATTTAATGCATTATTAAGGGGCTCAATCGACGAAGAATTGTTAGAATGACGTAGACTACATTTGAATTTATTTATTTCAAACACCCATACAGTTCAGTTCGCCATGATTGTATTTGTTTGTCATGTTTAAACCAAAACATTTTACAAGTAATCCAAATGCAAGCGAAACTATCGGGAGCAAATTTTTATTTATGTTATTTATGATACATTTTATTAAAATACTTCATAATTAAATAACACACGACCCAGCTATCTTAATTGGCATATTATTTTTCATTATGGTGAATTTTCATGGCAGTTGTACAAAAATTTATTGATATGTTTTTTGTTTTCAAGGTAATTGAGAGGAATGGGTATGTTTTATTTATAATTGTTACCATGGAAACTCATAATAAAGGTACTCATGAGCAGTGCTCCAAACTTCTCTAAATTTACATTTAACGTTATTGTACTGTTTGAGTTGTGGAATTTATATTTTATTTTTATTCTATTCAGTATATAGTATTTGAGTATGACATACACACATGTTTTATGAATCATAACTACTTTTATACTTTACAATTTATTAAATAGAGATAAATTTACATTGAAATGTAACTACAATTTTGTTACTTTCAATGTTTTTATATTTTGTATTATGGTAGTTCGCGTTGTTTCAGAAGTTTGCGTGCTAAAGCTTTACAACCCAGCCAATTTAAGTTAAGCTCGCGCTCTTAATTCCTTTATCCGCCTACATGCACCATTGTGTTACTTAATAAGCAATCTAACTTGCTTCTTTACTTAAATTCTGTACCACCATAATTATAAATCTGTCTACCAATTTGTGGGATTGGTTCAATAGAATATAAGTTAACGGAAAATTACTGCCATAACCTCTAACAGAATACTTAAGGTTTCTGAAGTTTCCATTTATTTTATCATTACTTAGTAGTATTAGTGTTAGGATGAAGTACAACTCAAGTTACGTAGTTCTGTAAGGTATTACATGAAGGTATCGAACCGAAAATACTAAGGAATCGTTAAACGTAGCTGGGAAACCGGCCATTAGAGAGTTACTTCTTTTGACGCATACTTATGTAATTGTAACAAGTCTTTCTGTTTATTTTCAGGGAAATTACTATAGTAAAGATAGTTAAAACGCCAGACTGTGATTCAAAATTATATTGCTAAATTTTAATTTTTAATTATTTCTTAACTAAAGAAAACAAATATTTCTTTAACAATTACGGTAAATCGAACAAAGTAATCTTATTCACATTTGATGGGACTTCGCGATAAATTGCGACTTATATTTCAACTTACGTAAATGTTGCTTCAACTTGCCTTCTCTTTTACGACTTTACAACCAAAAATAAATGAGAATGGAATTTTGAAAATACCCGGTTATATAATACATCGCTTATTGTATACGTAAATCTTGATACATTTTTACTAAGAACTGAAAGTACCGCTTTAACATTAAAATTGTAAACTCAAAATGTTTATTGGATTTACTACTCAAAAGTAATATAACTGTTTGCTTATTTATTACGAGCTGTCACCTGGAAACTTCGTTTTTTCTTCTGATATTACAAACAGACAATTTTTTTTATATGTATATAGAAGATAGATTTATTTCTTTACATCATATATCTGTTTATACTAAAGTAAGCTGGTATTAAGAAAGTTTCAACAAAATCCAATGATACGAAGGTCATGAATAAAGACTGAACTAGTAAGAAAATCTAATATCGAGGTAAAGTTACACTAAATCCCATGTCGAAATAAAAACTCTCGGATTCTTCGTTCGTAATATTTGTACCGAAATTACACAACAAATCTCTTTACACCTTTACCCTGTATCTTCTTTTTATTTTATCTTCTCTTTGTATTTTATTAAACACTTTCTTACTTAGAAACTACAATACTAAGTGATAGTAATATATTTAAATGAAATTAATATTGCAGTACTTTAAGTATGAGTTAGTTTCTTCAATACATAAATACGTACAACAGATAAATACAAATCTTTCCTCTGCATAATATGTATGTAGATAAATAAAAATAGGGACATTTTACAATAGCAATTTCTTATTATTTACGTACTATATAAATATTAAAGTTAAATAGTTTAATGTACTTAAAAATAATTAATTTCGAAAAAACATGTTTGACTTACACTGTGAAGGAACAAGGGAAATAAAATATGCGGTGTTCTTTGGTCTTCGTATGTTCTTGTCTTGATCTGCACAATTACTTTTTCATGGTGATTTATCGTAATCTTCCTTTTGAAGAATTATTTTGGCGTAAATTGGACTCTTGTTGTTTACCATCTGGTAAATAAAAAAAACGAAATTTTGTGTAAGTAAAATTTCTGTGTTTCAAGCGCAGTGTAGAATTAAAGATACGTTAGCAAGGCGTATTTGAATAACTATGAATTAAAAAGATTTGCCAAACTCTTTAGAATAAAATCTTATTCTCTAGTAGTTCGTTATCTAAGACTTTATGGTTTTAAATACATTTTCTTTTGTCGTCTATTAATTAGGTACATTATTATTTTTTCCTATTACTTATAATAATTTCAAATTATTATTAATTTAAATTGCTTGCGTGTGAAGGTTTGGAAAATATTTCCATCGAATTCTTCAAAAAAAAATTTTTATCCATCTGAAAAGATTTGAATCCATATATCGAGTTGGGCGAAATAACCTAATTTCTCCATCCGAACGGAGCGTGAACGATAATTGAAACAAACGATCCAAAAACGCTGATTTGATTTAGTCGTTATAAAAGGGAATAGACTGCCCTTACTGTCATGTCGTTAACTGGCAGCTAAACTGACACTCGATTATATTATACGGTTCATTACGTAACATTGAAATGATTAATAAAGAGTGATCTTACAAATCATTATGGAAATATCTTCATACAGGTGATTTTACATGATTTCTCCGCAAAACAAAATTTATAACTCATATATTTACTTTAAAGTTTCAGTATTCATATAATCTCGACTAAACGCAAACAAACTAAAATGTTGTTTTACTTTCAGTTAGACAACTTTAAAAAGCTTCATTTTCTAAAGGATGTAATATTATTTTACGTTATGATAAGGTTTTTTATTTTCCTTTTTACGACGCTGTATTTACAACATTAGACGCTCATTTTCCTTCGAAAAATTTGCTGAGAAGTATCTGACACGCTTCCGAGATGAAAATAAGCTTTCTTCTTTAAATAAAGTGTTGGGAACGAAATTTTCTTAAAGCCTTTTTCCTAAAATAGTTAATTTGTTGAGGTTCAAAAGGATTGGTGGTTATATGAAAAATTGCTTCTGAAAGATGTACTAGTTGTACGAAAAATTAATAATAATACTTCGACTAATAAATGCAAAAAAAAGAGAACAATGTAAAAATAGTCTTCAAGTCTATTTAGTAAATTAGTAAATCTTTGGTAGCAAATAATTTCGTACTTCTGGTAGATTTGCAAGTTGCATGTATGAAGATGGAATAGAGACAAGTACAGTATAGATATATGTCAAAAACATAGATAACAGTTAAGATAAATATATTGATACTGATGTTATTTATACACTATCTGTTGCCCGCGACTTCGTCCACTCAATGTTAAGGTAAAAAAGTAGTCTATAATATGTCCATCTATGTCAGAAAAAGTCCGGTCGAATTCGGCCCAGCTGTTTCGGAGCCTGAAATAACGCGGCTTACGGACAGACAAACAGACAGAAAAAAACTTTAAAAGCGACATTCGTTGTCAGCGACGCAAATACATCATGTTCCTGAAATCTGGAATTTTTCTTTTGACATTATAAACAAACACTCCAATTTTATTATATGTATAGATTTGATATAACTCGTTTGTATTTTTTAAACTATTTGCCAATTTGATAAACACGAGCCAGAGTAAAATTTAGTGTGAATCATAAAATATAACAAGCCCCAGCCTTGCGACGTATCTAGACTTGACAATAAATTGTCCCCGAATCTAAACCGCACATATTGCTGTTTGAAATAAAACTACCTATTTTAATTTGAAAAAGTTACTTATTGCTTATTGTTATGTTTTTACACATGTTTTTCTAATTCAGAGTTTATTCAATTTAAACGAAGCAGAACGACTAAATTGTTTCGTTTATTTAAATGTTCGACGTTGAATAAATGGTTTTTCAAATAACAAGATACTTACAAATAACCGTGGCTCCTTAAATTAACATCGCGAATAATACGGACTCAGCAGAATTTTAATAAAAGCCAACAACTGGTGAATTTTTATCAACCATTATGATTCTGACTTTTGACGAAAGACTATGGTTTTCTGTAATTGTGGGAAGGCGAAGTACAAATGTAATTAGCCTAAATATGCTTTGGAAATTGTGACCCATTCTAGGAGCATTTGTAACAATCTTGTTACCCTAAAAGTGTTTGCTCTTTTGTGATAAATTTACTATCACGTCGGACAATCTGTGTTGAAGATGCCAACTCTTTGTATTACGTAGTCTGTGGCCTGAATGATGGCTATTGTCTACAGACGAATATCATTAAGAGTATATAACGTTGTTCTATAAACAAAGTGTAAAAAAGTTGGACGAAAGTCTTAATTTCATATTTCGATTTCGATATTCGAGTTCATATTCTTCTCTTTTATCAGGAGTGCTATCTATTTTTCCAATAGTCCAATAGCCTAGTAAGAATTATGAATTGAAAGGATGAAAATTTAGAAATTACAACGAACGTAAGGATGTATTGTAAGTGAAGTTATTTTTTAATGCTTAATAATAAATCAGATAATTTAAAATTACTGTTATTGTATTTAAAATAGTATTAAGTCCCTTTAAATAGTGGTAACAACGTCGCACTGTTAGCCCACTGTAAAGCAGTGCTCCCAATAGAGCTAATAATTTTACGATGTTTGAATGGATTTGTAAAAAAATTGTTGTTAACAGTATCATTTTTATCAATTTGCGATAAAAATATTTTGTTTTCACTCTCCAATTTCATGTCTAAAAGTTCGTTTTCCTTTTCATAAGAAACTGCCACTTTCTCAAAATTGGGCACGTTGTCTTCCGGGTGATAAGGATTGTTGAATTCGCTTCTCAATAGACTCCTGTAATTTTCCATTGCAAATTTTCTAAACACGTCGAAATTCATGAAATTATTAACAAATTTGTACACATCTTCTGAGTCTATTTCTATCTTGATTGATGTAACGGCGACGTTATAAAAAGTCAGTGTTAACACTGAAAGAAAAAAATAGCAGTTTTTCATTTACTTAATATTGCTATTACACTTTAACATTTACACAATTTACTATTAATAGTAAATAACGTTGTTTTTAAGGCAGAACAGAACAGACAAGTTAAAAAACATAATACACGTATAAAATTGGAACCCATTTGATTTAAATTTATTTCATCATAAACAGATATATATTAATTTACGATTGTCTAAAAATTAACCTTACCTATCAGTTTTGGTGAACACAACATTTTCCTGAACTTTATTTCTTATGCCGTGCAATACGTATTATAGCCGTGCAATAAATATTCGAATAATTTTCAACGAAATATGGCCGCGTTGTATAAAGATTCAGATAAGAACAGGCAAGTTTCACAATTTATTGCTTGTGAAATTAAAGGCGCACAGGTGTTAAGTCTTTTTATTACCTACAGCTCTTTGGTGCAGAAATAGAGTTTAGTATTAACAAAGCATAAAAAAATATAAAAATCACCAACCCGCACTTGGCCAGCGTGGTTGACTATGGCCTAGCCACCCCGTATTAGGGTAGGCTCCGAGCCCGCGGTGGGGACGTATAGTGAGCTGGTGATGATAATAATGATGATTAACAAAGCATTCGATTTTTTTTGTAATATCCTACGATTAAAATTATTACGAATATTGTGGATGAAATAGTTTCTGAGTAAAAACTTTTAGTGCTAATTGGTTTTATTTATAGGCTAGCTTTCGCTAGCGCCTCCGGCCGCGCGGATTAAAAAAAAAAGTTAATAGCCTGTGTACGAGGCTATGTTCTACATCTGTGCCAAATTTCATCAAGATCCGTTGAGCAGTTTAGGCTACAAACTCTAACAAACATCCATCCATTCATCCAAACTTTCGCAATTATAATATTAGTAAGATTAATGGAACTGCTAGTTACATACATACAACATGAAGAAGGAACGGAGAAAGTGTGATAAAAATAGTTAAAATAATTTCCCAATACATTATGTATGGAGTCAAATTAACGCTTTTTTACTGTTTTTTAACATATGGTAGTAGATAACTTTGAATTAGCTAAAAAAATATGTATCATGCATTGTTTTTAGGACATACATAATTTATTTTAATGCATGCAAAAGTCGATTTTAACATTTGTTTTAACTTGCTAATCGTTTTTTTTTTTAATTTGCGGCCATCATAATTTTTTCTTAGTGTAGTCTTGACAGATTGACAAACAATTTTTGTAAATCTTCCTCAACATGATTATCAAATGATAGAGGTTGTAGAGTTGAGTACGTTGAACTACGACAGATTCAAAATTAGTTACTGCTTTTACAAAATGGCGAATAGCATTTTGATATATACAGTCCACCCCCCCTCCCCTAAATTGGTACCCAATAATCGATTCAGTAATAGTACAACTTGGTAAAATCGAAAACGTAAAATGAATTGGCTTAATTGTTTATGACACTACTGTTTAACAGAGCTATCTATAATTGCTTCGTGTTTTATTTTGTCAATTAAATTCGATGCGCTTGTTTTTTTTTTAATTAAGTATTCTACCAGTATTATCTCTACGTTAACGGGGGTACGTACATAATAAATGAATTGATACATAAATAGTGACGACAACTCATACCGAACGAAATATAAAAAAAAAATGTAGAGTAATAAAAACCAGTTTTTCGTTTAGTTTATCAGCTGGAATTTTAAAAAACAAATTTTCTTTTAAATTCACACAGTGACTATGTAAAGCAAAGAGCTGAAATGTACATTTAGAATTTTTAGTTGAAAAAAGTAATTTCCACATCCAAATTATAAACATTTACGTAAGTGTCGTAAAATATTTTTTTAGAGATAGAGTATGATACATTATATTTTCTTAACCTTTTACTTATTTAGGTATTTTAATGTGCCGAATAACAAACTTTTTCCAGAGAAAATGTGCAGGGCAACAATAAAATTAGTTTTGTTGATTAGTTTGACAGTACATACGGTAAATGCTACACTGAAGACTGGCGATAAATCCAGGTTAGTATTATAATCAAGTTAATAAATCTAAAATATCGAATAAGAATGTGATATTGAATAAATACCAAAGATTACAAGATACAAAATAAAAAGGAACATATAATTACCAGTTAAAAATCCTGGTAACGATGTATTCATTAAATGGCATAAGATAATATGTGCAATTTTACACAAATTCATGAAATTTATTTATTTAGTATTTTCTAGCGGTACTGAAAAGTTAGACCGTATTATAATTGGTCGTCTAGAAACTTTCTTAAGCTTTATTAGGTAAGTGTTTAAAATTATAAACCTTTACTTTTATCAATTGTTTCATTTTATACAATTGTATTTGTACAGTTCATTTGAATCAAATGAAGACCAACAAGAAACAAATAGTACAAAAAATCCTGAAATAGTACAGACGTGTGGTCAAAAGCTGACTTGTACAGAATCTCGATACCGTACGCTAGATGGCACTTGCAACAATTTGGAGAACCCCTACTGGGGTGCGGCTAAAGAACCTTTCGCGGTACTAGTAGAGGATGCTCGTCCAGATAGTAAGTAAAAAATCATTGATGTAATATCTTATGTATGGGAACATAAAACTTTCTCTAAAAAACAAACTAAGATCCTGAAAAATACTGTTATTTTGTGGTGAAGTCCAATATTATTCTCATAAGAAAGAAAATTTTATACTGTACAATTTCATGATTACTTTAGCGTATTACAAAAAAAATAACAGTGGTAGAGCCCGCTTCAACATGCTCGCCCGGTGCAATACCACGATCACACAGTAGACACGCGTGAAGTGGACGCAATTTTGCGTTCCATCTGATGAGTATGTTGCCGGAGGCCCAACTTTAGTCTATGGGCAGCGGTCACTTCGCCATTTCGGCGGATTGGTGGGTGGTGGTAAGGTGGACGCTTGCTCATTTTCCACCTTATGATATAAAATTTTCCACCTTATGAATTAAAACTATAAAATTATGAAATACTTTTAGAAGTTTAAAAGTTATAATCGTTGTCAGAATTCACACTAAAAACTATTAAGTAAGGTAAGTAAGGTAAACGTAAAAATTACTTGACTCTCTTTTAGATAACTTATATATTCGTTTTCAGGTATAAACATTTCAGCACAGGGAAATATGTTACCTAATCCAAGAAAAGTATCTCTTGAAATTTTTCCACCTAGAAATTTTACAGACCAAAAGTGGACACTGAACACAATGCAGTGGGGACAAATCATAGCTCATGATATTTCTTTGACAGCTAGTACTTTTATTATTGGTAAGATAATCCCAAAGTTTCTAATGTAATGCTAGTTATAGAGCGGGTATTAAGAGTAATTTCTCTTAAATATTTAAACACTAGCTGTTTCCGTGAGGCTACATCCGCATGAATTTATGAAAATTTTATTAACGTATTGATAACAAATATCAAAATGACATGACATGACAAACCTTGGCAACCTTGCTTCCTTGATGTTGGCAGCAACTTATGGTCTCTATCCCACATTAAGGTTTTTATCCAAAATATTTACCCCCTAAGTTTAATGGCGTGACAATATATAGCCTAAAGCATGACGTGAGTGTAGGACTTTTTAATATAAAAAGGATTATCCAAAAATATGCTATAATTGCTGACATCTTAGGCAACAAAGAAGTGTGTGTTTACGCTTTATTATAATAGTATAGATAACTACAAACTCCACGAAGTATTAGTTTTGTTGGCGTACGGTTTGGTTTCAAATGTCCCGTGTATTATTAGTTAAATTACTTTTTTGTTTTTTATAACACAAGGTGGCAAACGAGCAAGCGGCCACCTGAATCCGCCAAAATGGCGAAGCGACCGCTGTCCATAGACATCCGCAGTTGCAGATGCGTTGCCTACCCTTATCCGACAGAGGAGAAGACGCACATAAAGAGGATATCTCCCTTTCCTATGTATCTCCTCCTCCGTCAAATCCACTTCGTCTTCCCATCCTCTCCTTATAAAGGGTGGTAAAGAGAAAGGAACTTAAATTAGGCCTCCGGCACCACACTCATCAGACGAAACACGGAACTGCTTCCATTTCACGCCTGTCTTCTGTGTGGTCGTGGTATTACACCGGGCGTGCCGGCCTATTCGTGCTAAGATGTTAAAGCGGGCACTACCACTGTTGTATTTTTGTATGTATTGAAATAACTCAAAAACTACTGGACCGATTTAAAATCTTCACCATTATAACGCTACGTTATCAGTAACATAGGCTTTTTTTAATTCCCCGCAGGTGAAGTCGCATGAATAGTAATGTAAAGAATAATAGATTTTTTATTGCGGCTATATTTTGCGAAGTAAATTGTAACATCAAAACAGCATGCGTATAAAGTCCTGCATACTAATGTATACTTATGAAGCGGATGCTTAAGTGCGGAGGATGCGTTAAGCTAATAAGTAAATTTCATCGTCCGACGCCTTGCCGGTTTGCGACTGAAATAATGATAAAGGCGTGTACACACGAACTACAAACTCATGTTTTTTTAATTCGTTCATCTATTGGTTATATCGAAATATTAAAATGCAATTACAATTAAGAAGGTGTCATTAAATTCGTAACAGGAATATAGAAAATCTTTTTAAATAATTCAGTTAAAAAGTGGTTATTACAAGCATTTCCCTACAGAAACTTTTTTATGTCAATCTGTTTTTAATAAATAATATTTGTCAGTGTAAACCAAGCTTTATACGTAACTTAAGACCACTGTCCGCGAGATTTGCTACCGTTATTTATGTTACAATAAAACGGAACAGTGTACTCTCGCCTCGTACCATGTATTTTTAGAAGAACAACTTGTTACCGTGTACTTTGAACGTTTGTTGAAATGTTAAAAGTTCCCACAACGTATTGTAGCAACCTGTGTCGACAATATTATACCCCTTTAGCATATAAAACGGACAGTCAACGAAGTAGTCGTTCCTTTTGTGTTGGCATTTTTGAATTATCCCTATCCTTTTTTCTACATCAAAGCGTAGATCGGGTTCAAACATTTTTTTCCGTCTAAAACATCCCGCTGATTAAGACATTAACTTCCTTTTCCCAGTTTTAGAAAAAAATATTAAAACCAAAATTGTTTACTCATTGGATTAATCGGTCCGATGGGATCAACCTTTATTGCCGCACTCCGAGTGGTTAAGTGGTCGCTAAGAAAGTCCAATAGTGTAAGAATAGTATAGATAAGCTAGTGTTTGACTATTCTAGGTTATTGTACAAATGTTTAGCAATAGAAACCTACCTTAACATTATGAATTTTCTTTATATCTATATACATGTAATCAAACTAGAGTGTAGATTTCGGGAAGATGATGTATTTGCGTTGCTGATAACGAAAATCGCATTTTTTTGTCTGTCTGTCTGTCTGTCCGCAAGCCGCGTTTGTTTCGGATAATCTCCGAAAAGGCTGGACCCATCTCGATCGGACTTTCACTAAAGGGTAGCTGACACTTTTTTATCTTGATATTGCGAGGACGAAGTACGGGCAACAGCTAGTTTTAAATACGATTACTCTATTACGCAGGGAAATATCTTGGAATATATTATGTAAATATATTAACGCATGTGTTTCTTTACCTCAGGCGTAGCGAATACG